GTCTTTTCTTGTTTGTGTCTCTCTGTTGTTGCTCAGTTGTAGAGGATGTCATCAGGAGAAGAAGAGGGTTCAATCCCCCCACAGGAAGGAGGCGACGACAATACGGACAGAGTAGTCACAAGGGGAGACGGTAATGTGGAGAGGCAAGGGGAAGTTGACACCCCGCCAGCAGTTAAATGCCGACGTCTCTCTGACTTGAGCGTCACGACTACAAGCAGCGACAGTGGCAGTAGTGTCATAACGTTAAAATCTATTGAACAAATGCCCTCAATAGATCCGAGCAAAATGGACCAACCGCCGTCCCGCGGTTCCGCAATCTCACCTAACCCCGGGAGGGCGTTTGAGATTGCGCTCTTGCACTTACCCAGCGAGGGTGAGATGGCCGCTTTGCCCGAGGCGTCACTCCCGCATCGTCCATTTTGTCCAGTACTGCGAGCGGAGTCTATAAACGGCATGGACGCCACTGCGTCTCCCGCCACATGCGCTGCAGTGCAGGGCAACGCAGCGTGTGCCACGTTGAAATCATGCCAGGAATTTAGGGAAAATGGGCCGAGCGACGTGAATACGGGGGCGGGCCCTGCTGCAGGCCCCGACAGGATGGCGGCTGCAGTGGACCATCCACCGGAGCAGAGCAACGAGAAGATGGGTGGGAACGAAATGGAGAGCCATGACGAGAGGCCGTCGGAGCAAATGCCGAGGCCGGGCTCCGCTGGAGAGATTGAACCTCAGGATAGGGCGAATGAAAGTGCGTCGCCACCGTTGCCATCACCGTTGAATGTAACTTCAAAGCCGCGTGAGAAGATCCTGTCGTCTCATTGTCTGGACGGATCGGAGGCGAGCGAGGTGCGGAGGAGTGTCACGCTGAATCCCACAGACATGCCGCCACCATCGAATGTGGTTGGCAATGCGTCATTCAGCAACGGCAGTTCGGTGGAGATGGAGAAGAAATCGTCGAGTTCACTTCCCCGCTTCAGAGCGAGTAGCATAAAAAAAATAGCACTCCACCAGGATGCTCTGCCTGGTGAGGAAATTAAAATAGAGCCGGTGCGTAGCTCCCTCACAGAGAAGCAGCAGAGGACCCTACGACACGCACCTCCGGCGTTGACACGGTACCACACTCCACCGCCACATCACATGCTCCTCAGCGCCTCGTCAGGCAGGAGAAAAGGAAGGCGATCCAAGCAGGATGCGTTAACGGGGATGCCCCTGGACGATGGAGAGGGCTCGACAGATGTTCACGTCGTATCGCTTGAGTCAGGGTACACGAGCCACAATGAGGAAGCATGCACATCACCTCAGAAATTAGGAGGGCGGGAGGTGGATCACGCGCCGCCGCCCGTGGAGGATGTGAAACAAACCGAGGGGCCTGTACGTTCTGCCATTTATGACCACCCAGAGGAGAGAGAGCCGCAGAATGAGATGGGCAACCGCGAAATACAACGCCGGCTGAGCGATTTTATGGGGGCATTTCAAGATTCGTCCCAGAGGAATTGGGCGTCTGTTTTGTCAATTTCTCCACAGGCCTCTCAAGGAATTGTACGTTCTTCTTCGTATACTGCTTCCATATTCAAGAAACGGCGGTCATTGGACAATAGGCGGTCAAGCGATGGCTCGGCGCCACTTGTGCAGAGCATCAAGCATTTGGCGTCCACAGAAACTCTGGAACAATGCCCACTGTGCATGGGGTCACCCAATACTCTTGCTGAAGTAGCCACCCGCATCTCTCAGATCCTTTTGGATGTTCCGAATGACGGTCCCAATGACGCATTTCCCTTGCCTGAGGTGACTTCAAAACCATTCGGTCGGCTAAAATCCGAGGAGACGTCTCCTCTCATTTTTTTGGCTGCAACTGAGGTTCATGGGCCCACGCCACCGCCAGTGACGACAGAGGTCAACTTTTCACCATCACCATCACCTCCACTGAGCGTCCTTGAAGATGAAGACTCAAATTTACAGGAAGCGGACGTTAAGACGGGATTTACGCCACCATGTAGGGCTGATGACGCATATTTGGGCAACTTGCTTCCAGGCACCATTGCTCCTTTCGCCCCGGCGCCGTTGTCTTGGCACCGCCGCGTCCGCAGCACTGTCGCATGGCTTGGGGACTACGATGATGACAAAATTTTCATTTGCTCACCAGCAGACCCATCACTAGCGTTGCCACCATCTGACTTTGCCGCCAATGCCACCTACCTTCCCAAGCAGAAGGAAAAGCACACGGAGGGTTCCACTGTCAGTGAGAGCACCGGTGAAGAGGATTTGCTTGAGGGATTCTACCCCGGGCCGTACAAGGTCGAACGGGAGCATCGTTTTTCCAGTGGTGTCGTTTTTATCTTGGAGAGAGAAGACTGTTTTGCTTGTAGCGACAACAACAACGAGGGTGGGGACGTGACAAACGACGTGCGGCGTAGTAGACGCACCTCGGCGGTACCTCAAGTTGTGCCGATGAAGTCACCGATCATTTGTTCTCCACACAACAAAGAGGTATTTAATCAGCATTCCACGTTGCCCATACCGCAGCAGGATGGCGGCTGGCAAAATGTAGAAGACGCTGACGACAATCAGGGGCAGGAGACGAAGAAGAGTCTGCAGCGCCATAGTCTTTCTATGGATCAATACGCCTCTTTGAGTTTGTCCAGCATTTATCGCCCAACTTCCCACAAATACGCACCGGATCCCAACAAGATGTTCTGCCCAATAACCAACGTCTTCCGGCTGCGTCAGCATTTTCCAGACTCGTCCACTACGACAAGCGATGATGATGAGGATGGTGAGTTTGGCTGCGATGGTGGCTATAAATTCTCTGACTATGGATGGGAAAGGGAATAGAAGGACTGGTGAATGAGGACAGTGGATCGCATGGCACCTCCATTTGAATTGAAATGGGTGCTTTTTATTACTGAGTGCTGTAAAAGCTAAGAGGGCGAGAAAGTGGGAGTCGGCATGACCTCAATTAAGGAACAAATGGATTGTCTCTGGTGAAGGAGTGACTCAAGCAGCCCCCTTCTTCTTTCTCCCCCTCCTCAAAAAGAAGAAGAGAAACAGTGACATCCATGGGGCAATTCTCCCACATAATTTACACAATGTGTCTGTGTCTGTGTGTGTGTGTGGGAGTTGTCTGCGCGTGCCTCTTTACATGCCGGTAGGACAATTACTGAAGACCTTTCATTGTTATCATTCTGTATATGTATATATATATGCATATGCATGTGTTTTTGGTAAACATGTTTCAATAGTACTTTTTTTTTCTTTTTTTTTCTTTTGTGTGTCTGTCCAATTCATCGTTGTATAATTTCCATTTCAAAACTAAAGTTTTAGTCGCCTTCACACCTCTCCCCCCACACACACGTGGAGGGCGGGGTGGGAGGCTTTATTTGGACCTGCACTCTTCCCACCGTTTTATTTTTATTTATTTATTTATTTTATTTTGTTTTGTTTTTTGTTTTTGTGGTACTTTTCATGAAATGTAGACAATAAAAGGAATCATCATGAACACTCGATTGGCTGCTGCATAAATATTTATGCGGTTATAATGACATGATGGAGAAAATGTAATTGTGTTTTTCTTTTTTTTCTTTTTCCTTTTTTTTTTTCTTTTTTTAAATTATTAATAATTAATTGACTGGTGAGGCGTTGATTATTATTATTTTTAGTTGTTGTTGTTGTTTTTGTTTTCTTGTGTGCCTATATGTATATTTATGTGCCTTATAGGCTTTACGTCCATGTGCGTCTCAGTTTTACCGTAAATTGGGTGTTTACCGGGGGAATCATCTTAGCGATGGGTGGAATGGGCGAAGTGAACGTGTAGAAGACATCCCAAACGGTGTTTTATTATTTATTATTTATTTATTATTTATTATTTATTATTTTTGACAAAAGACACAAGTGAACGTATACACCATTTATAGGAGTAATGTACTCGGTGCATATGTGCATACACATGTATATATATATATATATATGTATATGTTTGACTGTAGTATACACAAATCACTTTCTTTCTTTTTTTTTTTTTTTCATAGTTTTTTTTTTCTTTTTTCTTTTTGTATACCGCCATGTCTGCAATAAGAAAGCACGAATGCATGCAAATGACATGTTATTTTTTTTTTTTTTGTATGTGTGCGTGTTGTGAGCCCACTTTTTATTCCTTTTCTTTTTTTTTTACATCAACGCCGCTTCAACGTCTCGGTTTTATTATTATTATTTTTCTTTGTGTGCATCTCTGCGGCAGAAAAAGAGGGGGAGGCCGCTGTCGACATGGCTTTACAACATGCATGTATGTTGCATACATATGGATGCTGTGACACATATGAGTGGCCTTCTTTTTTTCTTAATTTATTTATTTTTTTTTTGTTTTCATTGCAGCAGGGAAACTATCGGAGACACACGAGATTTGTGGAGCGGAGCACAAAAAAAAAAAAAAAAGAAAAGAAAAAATAAAATAAAAAAAAAGACCAACAGGCATTTAGGAATAAAGTGGGATAATTTGCATAGATACATACATACATGCATACATACCGGGAGGGAGAAGAATTTAACATGGACACTGTTGGGACGAAACCCAACACATCCCATGACGACAATGCCACACAGCATACTCGCCGTGTGATGTTTGCCGATGAGGTGGAGGCTCGTCTCCAGAGCAAAAATAATCATCACAGCAACGGTGAGGACGACGGATGCACACAACAGCACGTGGAGACCGCCACACATGCCGCAGTGGGCCATCCGCCAGCAGGGGGAGAGACGCAGTGCGGGAAAAACGAGCAGAAGGGCCGAAAGGGCAAAAACAACCGACGTCAGCGCAGGCACGGCGGCCATGCAAAAGCGACAGCGGCGTTAGTGGAGGCGATTGAGCTTGACGAGGAACTCGAGGAGAACTCCAATCAACTCCTTGACGACTACGCCATGCTGCTGGCAGCGGATGAGAAAGCCAAGCGGCTTTCCGTGGAGGTGCAGCAGCTGCGGGAGCAGGAGGAGGTGTACAAGACACACCGCGCCCTGAAGACGATGCGGCTCAACCAGGCCGTGGCGGAGCAGCCAAGGCGCCACGAAAATACGGAAAGCGGCTCCAGCAGGGACAACCACCGCGCGGGGACAACTGACGTGGCGTGCGGGGACAGCACCCCGCTGGTGGAGCGGCCGCCACCGCCGCCGGCTGATGAGCGCGACGCAAATATTTCTAAAGCCCCGCCGGCAGCGAGTGGATTCTCCAAGTGGGCCACGACACTTTTGGCGGCACTCACAAAATACGGCACCGCGTGTCGTCATCATGTGTGGAAGCTACTTTTTTTTTTCGTCCTCGTGTTTGGCCGGAGACTTCTGCTTCGGTCATCCCCGTCGGCATGCATTCCCGCACGGCATCCATCTGCGCCTGTGTGAACACGCACGGGGGAAAAACAAAAAAAAAAGTTCAGGAGCACCCCGTTCATGGAGACGAGGCCAACGGCAGCAAAGAAAAAGGAAAAGAAAAATCAAAAGGAGAGAAACAGGGCGTCTGCAACGTATTTTATTTTGGAATCTTCTATGCCATTCTATGGCGGTGTGACGGTGTGGCCCAACAATTCCTTTTAAATTCGGGGGGAGAGGGGCGGAACAACAGGAAGGGAGCATCACCCATCGTCCTCCCTTTGCGGAGCATGCATTGGCAGTTGCATCCGGCCTCATATGGGGAGGAGACAAGGAGCAAAGATTACACGACTGGACGGGACTCTGAAAATAATAATAAATTTTTTTTTTTTATGGGAAGAAAATGTTTCTTTCTTGCCCTACCTTTGTTTCTCCATGTGTATACATGCATACATATTTATACATGGATAGTATATTTTTTTTAGACCCCCTCCCCCCTCCCCCCTTTACAACGCAAACAACTACAGAATGCAGGCAAAAACACGGAAAATTGGTAATTTTAAATGCCAATACAGCAGTTAATTAATTAATTATTTAAACCTGTATACATTTGCATATATTTTTGCCTTTTCTTTACATTTTCTGTGGGGAAAATAAGGGGGGAAAGAAAAGGTACAAATTGAGGCTTTTACAACGATAGGTGGCTTCAAAATCTCACGATTCATGCGAGACAAACAAATTCAAATAGCCTAGGCGTTTTTTTTGTTTGCTTATGTTTGCCACAGGTGTGCGTCTTTAAGTGAGTGGAGGCGTAACAACCAAATGAAAAGTTGCTCGGCACGATATGTGCACGAATGATTCGTTGTTGGCCACTTCAATCAAGGCTTACAAGGCCGGGATGGTGACTGCATTGTGATCGCGCAGCCACACGGTTGGCTTTGGGGTGAGGCATGGACCCCATGCAGCCGGTACTCGCCGCTGTGACAGCCGACATCCGCACGGTGATTTTCCAGTGCATGCAGACGGACCTCGACGTCCCTGCTGTTGTGTGGCCTGTAGGCGACGAGACGCCGCTGGATGCCTGGCCACTTCTGCGGCGGCAAAGGTTACTGGCTTTGAGTCCCTGCACCGGTTCGGCGAAGGCGCGTTACTGGGAGTCGCACCTTTACTTTTTTTTTGCACGAAACTCATTTCTGGACTGTACGCTTACATTACGCACGCTGCTGCATAACTGCGTGTGTACTGTCTTGACTACGTGTATTGGACGGATGTTTCCTGCATGCACGGGGGCATGCTGTTGCTTTTGGCTTGACGAAAGGAATGGGCTTCGTGCTGTGTGGGGCTTTCAAGCTACTCAGTACGGGGGCTTTTTTGCCGCTGCTTATTTGCAGTCTTTTTTTTTTTGTTTTTGCGTTGCCGGACGTTGATATCATTTGCTTGGGTGGTTGCCTGTTCTTGTGCAGGCGGCTTGCGACCTTGCCCTTTCCTTTCGCCGATTCTGGAATTCCTTGTGCCGCAAGCGCGCAGTACATGTTTTGGTGCGGTTTAAATCCTCTACGCATGCCACACTTACCGTTCTTCTTTTACTCTTTTTTTTTTTTTTTTTGAAGTTTTGGGGGCCGACAGTTTACGGCGCGACGGATGGAACGGTGCTGAGGGGCCTCTTTTTGAGTGCCGATGGAAGTGATTTTGTCTTTTTTTTTCTCCTTCCGTTTGTTTGTGTGTGGCTGCATTTTCTTTTTGGTTGATTTTGTCTTTCCGCCACTTCATTGCTGGATGGATGCCGACCGCAGTGCCGCTGCTGCGCATGCTTGCGTGCGATTTTCACGGGTGTAGCGAAGTGAACGTGGTGCATGGCTCTCATTGTGGATGGCGTCTTTTCTGCTCCTGTAACCTTTTTTTTTTTTTTGTACATGCATGAGTGCGTATCCACATATATGTGTTTCCTTCTCATGTAAATAAATAAATGAATTAATTTATATATGCATGTCCTTTTCTTTTCTTTCCTTTTCTTTTTTTTTTTTCTTTTGCCGCAAAAGTTGTCTTTGAGTGCATTTATTCACTCAATAACGCTCATAGAGGGGGCGGTTACACGTGTTATCACGGATTGTCCGGGTCCCACGGTCCTGGCCACTTTTCAATGAATTCCATCCACGCGCTGCTCGAGCTGGGGGTTCAGCGAAGGAACGTGGAACGCGAGTCGAGGAATGCGAAGAAGGAAAACGGCGAGGCAACGAAGCAGCGGGCGATGGGTATTGTGAGCGCCATTGAGGCCAAGCAACAAATGCTACTCAGGTCGTTGGCACAGCGCTTCGTGTACCCCGCATCGGAGTACCCGCCGACAACTGAACTAGCGGAGTTGTCGGATGTATTCACAAATCTGCTGCGGGATGTCGTGGAGCAGGGAAAAATTTTTTTATTGTACAATTGTTCTTCAGACGCCTGCGAGGCCTGGCGATGCACGTGCGCCAAGGAGGGTGCTGGCGAGGTTGGCGACTGCAGCAAAGGACGTCAGCGCGGTGAAGAGAATTGTCGTCGGTGTTCCACCTCCGGTCGGGGTTTGTTGGACGTTCTTGGCAGAATTTCGGCGAAGGTGCTGCACGAGAGCCACGCAGGGGCGAGTTCATGCGTCGACAACATTCCATTAATTGAGCAGTGGGATGCGGAGCTGCAGGCCGCACTGCACCATGTGGGGGACGTCGTTAGCCAGGCTCATACCGAGATGCTGGTCGTGCTTGACGCTCTGAGCGATGGCCGGTTTCCGTACCTGACAAGCGGCAGCTCCACGAAGGAGAGCCCGCCGCTGTGGACGGAGATTGTCCGTCTGTTTGAGGACGCATTTGAATCTGTTTTGACGGATGTAGTACGGCTACTGCTGTGGTGCATTCACCAGCATCTCTTAGGCCGTGGTGGGCTGGCAGCTCGCCCACTGTTTGCGGTCAAGTCTCACTGGTCGTATTCCGCTTCCAGTGTCGTCACGTGCCCGTTGCCGTCGGAGTTGCACGAGCGCCTCATGCGAAGATGGAAGAAAGAGCTGATATGGATTGTGGTGCCTGAGTTTCGCCTGAGCCAAATGACGAAGCGGTCGGTGCCGATGTTAGGACGCGTCAAGCGACCGATGCTGCGGACCATGTTTATGGAGGATTCAGCGAATAATCGTCTGTGGGAGGCGTTGCACTACGCCACAATCCAGCGTTGTGACGAATTGCAAGAAACCGTGAGGGGTTTAACCAACACGTATTCCTTTTACTTTTCTCACGAGGAGGAGTACTACCCCCAGTTGGGTGCTCAGCGTCTGCGGGAGTTGGTGAATACAGTGCGGAGTTATGGCATGAATGGCGTGAAGCACGCTGGCGCCGGAGCATTTGTCGTGCAAACGGAGGTTCTGCAGCAGGTGGCGCTCAGCAAATTAGAGCCTGCATTGAAATCCGCACTGGTGACTACAGTGCCAGCGACGATGCGTGGCGATGAGGGAATAACGGTGTTCCGCTGGAAGGCACTGATAGATGTAAAAGATGACGCGTCGCCTGCGGGTTCGCTGAGCAATCGACTTAACGCCTTTCGTGCGGGGCGGAAGGTACTCAACAAGTACGACAAGGGCCTTGAGCCGTTAGCGCACACGCAACGATTTTTGGAGGAGCAGCGGGCAGAGGTGAAACGCATGTGTCAAGGAAGGGGCACGGCATTGGAGGAGGGAGACAAAACGCAGGCCGAGACAAAGCAGAGCAATGGCAACGGCTCTACCGAAGATAACAATAGGAGTGCTGCGGTGGCTGCGTCTGCAGCTGTTTCTAGGCGGTATAATAACAGGTTTGCTTCTTCATCGATTTCACCTCCCATACTCAACAAATTGGGTAAACAGCCATTGGCCGCTAACGCCATGGCCATAGGGAAGAAAATAGGCTATGAGACGACCCTGCCGGCGCGGGTACTTCCAAGTTCCGCCTCAACGACGACACAGAGCACACATGAAGAGAAAACGCCACCAGGCTCCACAAGCCATGTATCCCCCTTGCATCCACAGAGCGGCAGTGGTAGGAAAGGGGGATGGAACTTCTCATCAGGGCACAGTTCTGAGGTACGCCTACCGACTTTGAGGAATTACACGCCTAGCTCTAGTCAGCAGTTCATCAGGACTAGGCCGGCATCCAGGGAAGCCATTGCACAGAATGGGCGTGAGGAGCAAACAGCACCCGTCATGAGCTGCGTTGACATTTCCAAGCAGAGTGGCGAGGAACAGAAGAGGCCGGCGTCTAGAGAAGCCATTGCAGAGAATGGGCATCGGGAGCAGCCGACGCCCGTCGCGACCAGCGTTTCCAGCGGCGTTGAGAGGGATTTCGCAGACGACCCGGTGGCCGCAGAGCCTGACCCACTTACCGCGAATTCTACCCTTAACTCGCCCCCGAAAACAGCTTTCGTAAATGCCGCTGCTGCAGAGTCGGCAAAAAGACGAGTTTTGAGTCTAAAGAAGGTGTGCCCGTTTCTCCCAGAAGTGCCTTTTTCAGGAATTTTCCTTGAGGATCTGAACCTTACTGACCCGCGCGTGGAGGCTGCCATGAACCGTATGCGAGCCGTGCGTGGCAACGCCTCAGTGACGCGGGACTATCGCTCGATTGCACTGGTGGAAGACTCCCTCTGTGCCGTGGTCGAGTCCATTGCCGAAGAGATGTTTAATGCAACGTCGCGAATGCTGTCGCGTTACCCATTTCTTGAAAGCCGCGTGAGAGGGGTGCTACTTGGGAATATTCCCGAGCTGGAAACGGACGAGGACATTCAATCGCTGCTCATGATACGCCGCGACGCAGAGAGGGCGCGGAGGTCAACGGCGAGCATTGACAAGTGCCTGCGGGAACGTGCCGAGGCGTTGATAAACGACATTCCGTACGTTGTGGAACCTGAGCGCTGCAGTGCACACCCATTTTTGCTCGCGGAGCCTTCTGCTTCCTCTGCCACTTCTTACCGCTCACGCGATGAGAAGGCGAATAGCGATGGGGACGACAGCAGAGCGACGCAAAGGGTGGGATTACAAGTGACAACCCCACCGGGGCCGGATGCCACGAGTGAAGTGGACAAAACACCACAGGCAGAAACGGTTTTAAACGATGGGGAGCCACACCGCGCCATGGACGGCAGGGAGGAGCAGCCACGGCAGTCAAATGGGCAGGAGCAACCGATGGGGGCGGTGGTAAAGCCGATGACAACGGGTGTTTCCACGTCGCAACCCCTTGCAGCAGACCCCGGGCAGAAAGTCGTTGAAAACAACGGCGAATTGTCTTCTGAAAGGCCCTGTGAGAGTCATTTACCGCAACGTTCATCGTTTGCCAGGGCACGGATGGGAGGTGGCGCTCCGGCATGCTCTCAGACCGTTGTTCAAGCAACGGAGGAGAAACAAAACTTCTCGATACCACGAGTCTTTGTCGCGGACACTCCTTTGCCGGCGGGAAGAACAGGCAGGGCGAGTGAACAAGTTCAGTTATTGTCATCCAAACCACCTGTTGGGCAGGTTGCAAATGCGTCACGGGAAAATCCAGTGCCGCCTTTCTACAGGCAGGGGGGAAAGTCTTTTTCTCTGCCTCTAGAAGAGAAACAGGGCACGAATGAGGTCGTGCAGAGAGCACCTCACGGAATTCCCACATCCAACAACATACAGTCGTTGACTGATTTCTCCATTGAAAATCAGAAAATGACTCCCTGCGGCCCAACGTTTGGTACCGTGAGGCGCTTCCTAGAGTCTGAGCGTCAGGAGCTGGAGAGGCTGGAGTCTATTCTTGGAGGGGTCCGCCGCGCTGGCATGGGTTTGAAAGAGGGCAAAGGACTACCGAAAGTGGACGCCGCAAAGCAAATGCCCTCCGAGGAAGTGGGAAAGCGGAATTCAGCGGAAGGTATGCAGCAGGCCGCGGGGAAATCGCAGACGGGGCTTTCGAAAAAAACCTCCTTGTCGTTTTCAACAACACCTAACGTATCGGCTGATGGAAACGGGTCGGTGGGCCTCTCAACGCCGCAACCCGCCGCCGCAAGGCGGGAGTGCGCCCAGTTGGGTTTGTTATTTGAGCAGCTTCCGTACATGCGGAGAAGCAACGAAGGAAATGAGTTATTGCGTAAACTTATTGAAGAGCGACGGCGAGTGTCCGAGGCGCATTACACGCGCGAACGGGATTTGGTGGCTTTGCAGTCGCGTCAATTGAAACGAAGTTCGCACAGCCCACTGCCAATGCGCCCCAATTTCCTTGCAGAAGTTGCTGCGAGATCCTCGTTGGGGGCAGCCGTGCCAAATGGCGCCGACGGTGGGCAGGCACGATTATTGCCATCTCTTTCACAAGGGCCGTCTCATGACAGCTGTGCCACACAACAACAACAAGAACAACAGCAGCAGCAACAGCAGCAACAGCAGCATTCGTATGGCAATCAGCGGTCGACGTGGGGACGATACACCATTGAGCGAAACCCTCCGACAAGCGTGACGGTGCAAAGGCGTCTTTCAGGCTCCCCGGGGCTTTCGCAACAAAGTAACGAGGACCGCATGCGTTTCCCCACGATCAGCGTGGGTATTTCAGCCGACCACATATCACAGGCGCCAGATAAGACCGAATACGAGAAGTCATCTAATAACCACATAGGAATGAGCCATAAGTACATGTTACTATGCCGCCAAGCAGGGATTAAGCCAAACAGTATGTTGTTGCGTGCCCTCCCTGACACGCAAGGTGTGTCTGTGAGTCGTGTTGACACCTCTGGGAACTACATCGGTCCCAAGGGCCTTATGCCCCTTCTGCAGGTGTTACGCGACAACACTGGGTTGAAGTATCTCAACCTAAGCCACAATAACTTGGAGAATGACGAGGTGATTGAACTGGTTAGTTTCCTTATGAATCCTAGCGGCGCGTCGCTGCAGTCCCTAGACCTTTCCGACAACCCTGTTTCCCTGGCAGGGGGTGCCGCAATTCTGCGACTTGCTCAGGCGAGACCCTCTTTGCTCTCCGTTCGGTTGAGGGGGACTCTTGTCCCGCAGCCGGTGATCCACAGCATCGAGGAAGTTTGTGACTCCAATCGTGCCAGCGCTTCTTAGAAAATTCTTGCGTCTTCCCCATTGAAGGATAAAAGAAGAAAATCCGCAACGGGGGGGAAGAAAGATATGGAGGGAGAAATGACCAAAATGCTTACATGTAGCTACGTTGATATGTTTATTTATGATATCAAACTCTTTCTCTCTCTCTCTCTCTTTTTTTTTTTTTTTTTTGAACGCCTCCTGTATGTTTTTTCTTCAGTGAGGGGAGTTTTACACTTCCGATTTATTGGCGGTGGTGCTGATGCGTGGGCTTTTGCGTCATTATATCTGTAATTGTCTACAACTAGGCTTCTTTACTTATTATTATTATTTTGCGATGTAAATTAGATTGAAGAGAATGGATTTAAAAACAAATGACAAGTGAGTGAGAGGGAGAGAGAAAGAAAGAGAAAGGAAGAGGAAGAGGAGGAGGGAGAGACGCCGCATTATTTAACACTGTGCTCTCACTTGCTTTTTTTTTTTTTTTTTTCTGCTTCTGTGAGTTTATTATTATTTTTATTTTTGTTGTGCGCGTATGCGTTTGCGTTGAATGAGGCGCAGTTGCAACGACATTTTTATTACAGTGAACGTTGTTGGACGGTGTGGAATTCCCTTTTTGTAGTCTACTGAGAGAAGGAGAGAAGGAAGAGGCAGAGGGAAAGCGAGGCGTTGGGGACGTTCACTGGGCAAAGAGCTTCAAGGAGGGACGAACACAACGGCGATGGGAATTTCTCACTTTTTTTCTTTTCTTACATGTGCTGCTGCTTTTTATTTATATTTATTGCCGCTGCGCTGCACCGCTACCACCACCTTCTTCTGTTTTTTTTTTTTTTTTGTGTGTGTCTGTGTGTGTGTGTGCTTTTCCTTCTTTCTATGGGGGGCACGTCGTTCTGGCACAATCAAAGGAAGGAGGGAAGAAGGGCGGCGAGTAAATGCTTCCTGGGCGACAGGGCGGTGGAAGCTCCAACTTTTTGGTTGCCGTCCGCTGTCGACATCTCGATGCCCGAGAGGAGGCCGCTGCGTCGCTGCGATTTGCCCGACGAGGGGGCACACGTCTTCATTGCGTCTTTTTGAACCGCCCCGCTCCGTCGTCACTGACCCCTGAGGCAACAGCAGCAGCTTATTTCCCAAGAGGAGGGGGGTCGCGGGCGAGCGTTGTGCTTGTTGACCCGGATGCCTGCACCGACTTTACCGCGAAGGGGAGGAGCTCTGTTGTCTTGGCGGAGGGACCATCGCTGCTGATGCAGTTGGGCGCAGAAGAACTGCAGCGGGTGCTGACCGGACACGATGGAGTTCGTTGCTTTAACTTTGACGAGGTGTTTCCACCTGCAGTGACTAATGAGGAGATTTACACTGCACTTGTGCAGGGATTAGTGATTGCTGCAGAGAATGGCTACAACGGGACAGTCTTTGCGTACGGTCAGACAGGGACGGGGAAGAGCTACACTGTATTTGGTGAAAGGGACAATGGGGTGCCTGGGTTATGCACCCTCGTAGCGGCCGATCTGTTTGGCCAGCGTAGCCGGCCCGCGTGGCTTCACGACACATGTGTCCCTGTAAGTGGTGTGGGTGGCCCCTCACAGCAAGGGAGGGAATCAAAAAGGATGGTATTTGTGTCGTTTATTGAATTGTACAATGAGCGATTGCGTGACCTACTCGTTGATCCGGCTACGGCCACACAGGCAGCGAGTGCGCCGAGCCAGAAGGAGGGAAGTCGGGGCAGACGTCTTCTTTTTTCTCGGTATGATGACTTAGACATTGTGGAGCATCCCGTGCATGGCGTACAGGTGCCGCATGCGAAAAGTATCCGTGTACGTTGTGTGGAGGAGCTGGAACGGCTTTTAGAAGAGGGCGACCGCCGCCGCACTAAGGCCTCCACGGCTAGTAACAAATTGAGCTCACGAAGCCACGCCATTCTGCAGTTTACTGTGAGACTTTGCATGGGTGCGGCTGGGGATCAGGGGGATGCGTGTTGTACCCGACACATTGTGGCGGACCGAAGCGAGACGCAGGCGTTGTGTTCATTTCTTACGGCTAAGCTGTGGATGGTGGACTTGGCCGGTAGCGAGCGGGTATCGGGATTTGAGAGCCTTACAACTGCTGTCGCTACGGCTGGAAGTGTCGCTCACGGCACCTGCGGCGTGCCCCACCAGCGGGACAGTCGTCGTAGGGAGGGGTCAAACATTAACCGAAGTCTTCTCGCGCTGGGCAACTGCATCAAAGCATTGGGAAGGGCCTGCCGCCAGCAGCAGCAGCAGCAGCACATGTACACAGCGTCTGGTGACTCTTCGTCGTGCACTTTCCATTCGTTGAGGCATCAGAAGCAGCACGCCATTCACACCGGATACAAAACGGCCGCATTTGAGGTTCATGTTCCGTACCGTGACAGCAAGCTGACGCGTTTGCTTAAGGACTCTCTTGGCGGCAACACACGGACTGTCATGCTAGCCACCATCTCCCCGAGCTGCACCTCCTTTGAGGAGACGCTCTCAACGCTGAAGTATGCCTCTCGGGCGCGAAGAATTACGCGTCAGGTGCGCCAAAACATTCTTGTGGAGGCAGCGGACGGAGAGGAAGGGGAGGATCGAAATGATGAGGGGGAAAAAGAAGAGGAACTGCCAGAGACGGTACATGGCGGTAGTCGTGGTGCATCGTCGGACGGGAACGGAAAATGGGCGTCAGAGCGCGAGTCAAATCATCGGCTGCGGCTGCTGGAGCTTGAGGCAGAGGTGCGCTGTTTGCAGACGCAGTTGCATGTAGCGCGGGCTGCGGCAAGGAAGATGGGACTGCCGCGATCCATTGAGGACGACGTGAAGGAAGTCGCGCCTGTTGTTTCCACAACAACCGCATCGTCGGTCGTATCTGACGGTGAAAGCGGCAAACTTATGGAATTGGATCGCTGTTGGGAAATTTACGAACAGACACGATGTGAACTGCAGGCTCTTGTTCGTGAGAGGGCGACGGCCTCTGCAAGGCGGGAAAATGGCTTAGGAATACCCCGAGACCTGGGAAACAAAGGACCCATCCGAGAGCTGCTGCGGCAGGAACGGAAGAATGCTCTGCTGTGGGAGCGGCAACGACGCATAGATGCATTTTTGTTGTAGATGACTTCAACATGTACTTCAAACGTACACTGCAGCATCACTGAGGAAACTTATTCTTTTTTTTTTTTTTTTTTTTTTGATTGACCTTCTAATTCATATAAATATTTATTTATACTCTGCTGCCGGTCATTTTTTTCCTCTATATTTTGCTCAAGACATCTTCTGTTTGTCAAGGCAAAAAACTAGGGAGATTTTTTTTTTTTTTTTTTGGTGCGGATTTCTTCATTCTCCCTTTATCTCTCCGTCTATATATTAGATGCGTACTCCTAGGAGCGGAGGATAAACGATAATTACGAGAGATGTGTGCACAGGGAAGTACGTAAGTAACAGTCACCATTACAAGCTGATATTTTATGAGGCGTTCAAGTGGGAAAAAAAAAAAAAAAAAGAAGAGGCAGCGGTCTGCCTTAGGCTTTACCGTTGTGGTTTTTCTTTATTATTGGATGTTATCTCATCAATGTGCACAATGGGTTTCAGGCCAGTTGCCAATTTGGGGCTTTGGATTTCCTCTTGCCACTCTAGTGAAGGAGTTGGTGATTGAGAGGCCGCAGCCGAGAAGGGAGCAAAGCTGGGCGAAGGAGATGGGGCTGAATGGCACACAGGAGTGGGAGGAGCATAAGGTGAGCAAACACCGCTGCCTCTCGGGTAAACGCGGTGAAGACCTTTGTTGGTGTTTTAATGGTTTATTGACCCGTGCGACAGAAGCATTTTTTTTTTTTTGAGCTTGGAGGGGCTCGATGGGAGTTTTTCTTCCTTCACGTGCTTTTTTATTTATTTTGGGAGTTGTTTCCTCAACTGGAGCGGTCTTGTTATTGAGGCTGCGGTGTGGTTTCCCTCTTGCGGGGGAACAGGTGAGATACGTCACCTGAATTGACTGCAGGCCTTTCGGTCAGATTCTGGAGTTTGACGCACAAGAAGATAGTGGAGGAGGTGAATTGCGTACATCTATGTGTGTGCATGTGTGTGTGTGTGTCTTTGGGCGTATTGCACGTCCAGTGATCCCGAGCCGCCGCTGCCTGGCGCGGGAGAAAAGAGGATGCGTTGAGACGCTTGTGCGTTTGGACGTCCATCTTTTGCATCCACCTGGAGGAACGCTTTGGTGACCGTTGTGTGTGTGTGGAAGGATAGACATCTTTATGCTTGACGTGGAGGGGAAGAGTGGGAGGTGCTGCAAAGAGTCAACTGGGAAAACGGTCCTTCAATTTACCCTGTTTTTCTTTTTTTTTGTCATGAAGCTCAACGAGAAGATTGGGAAGAGGGATGTGGGGTTCTGCCGCGTGCTGCGAAACGTCGGCGTTATGCCACGTGGCCGTATTGGGCTCTATGAGTTGTGGAAAAGCGTCGGGTTTGACACGGTGCCGCGTCAACAAGTGCGGCGCTGGCGGAGCGAGTGGATTCTGCAGGCAACCGACAGGGGGGGGTGTTGTACGGCCTTCCTGCAACCGCGGAAGCGCAGAATAACAGGGCGTCCAAATGCCTTGAAAGTCCAATCAGGCCGGAGAGTATTTTTCCAATTTTTTTACTTTTTTTTTGCAGGCAGGGATATCACGGGCTGCCGTTTTTTGAATCCACTAGGGAGGCTTAGTAACACTTGACGAGCACAGGAGGGAAGGGACCGACAATGTTCTTTATGTCCGTGCCGAACATGTATACTCCTGTGTTCAGATATTTGTTGATGACTTCGCGTGGTGACGTGCCACCAGTGCGTCTCATTATTTAACACCGATTTAATTTGTATTTGTATTTGTTTTTTATGGAGGAATTTTCTCAACGATATCGGGTGGGGGGGTTGGGTGTATATTTACATTCGCCTGTGGTGTCCTAAATACACCCAGAGTGATGCATTTAACTCTCTTCTCCTCATTTTCTTATTTATGCGTGGTTCTATTTTGTCCCCTATTGTTGTTATTTGTTTCTTGTGGTGGAGGGGCCCGTTGGTTTCTTACGTGAGCGCTGCGCATTTTCTCACTCCTTTCTTTTATTATTATTATTGCTGGTGCTGTCTTTTCTCACCATGGCGGTGTAGCTCACGGCTCTCATCGACATCTCATTATACGAGAGGAGATGGAAGCAGCAAAGGTTGCGTCGATGGGTATTTTATTTTATACTTGCACGATTATTGGCGTGGACTTTTGCGGCTTCCCAATTCCCATTCGATAACACTTATTTCTGTTTAACTTAACTTAAGGCACATTTTAACGGCTTTCCTGCTGTTCTTTTTTACTTTCTTTCCTGCCGTAGAAGCACACGGAGACATATATATATATATAGTGAGAGGAAGAAGGAGGAATCTATCTGCTGGGTGCATTTTGTGATGGGGCAGCGTAGTCGTGAGCGGCATTTTGACCCAAACCCGTTGGCAGTGGGTGCGGCGAGAGTGGCACGGCAGTCGGGGACGTGTGCCGATGGTATGCCCGCCACGGAGGTGTGTGCACGTGCAGCTAGGCCAATGAAAAGAGGTATGGGAAGAGGTGAACAGAGGGAGGAGGCTCAGCGGGATCAGCAGAGTACGCAAGACGGCGGCCGGGCGAAGCAATTCGCATACCTGCCGGTGGGGTGGAAGATGGATGCTGAAAAGATCAAATGGAATGTGCTGCGGCGGATTCCAGTGCATGTTTCCCAATCCACGCCATGCAGGGGCACTGTCAGTTATTCCCGGCACCGGCTGGCAGATGCGGTAACGGCGGCCGCCAATTTTATCAGCCTTTCAATTGCGGCGCCTCTCGAGGGTGAAGGACCATATCGGCTGCCGGGTGAGAGGTTTGCGTTTGAAAAGGATAGTTACAAATCCCTTGGCTCGTCTAGCAGGAAAAATTTCTCCTTTGTGAGGCGTGCAAACAACGAGGCCACCGTGTGTCAGTTACCTAAAAGTATCTCCAAAATGAGAGGTTCTGTTTCAAATACACCAAGCGTCCCAGTCCATGTTGAAGCCGTACCGAACTCTCTGTCATTGCACGACACGCTGCCGGTGCTGGAGGCAGAAGAATGCACATTGACAACATTGAAGGCAACGCCATCATTGCCACAGCTCCTGTCATCCGAGGAATGTGCACCTCATGTCATTGAGGCTGCGGAGTCCGAGCAACCGGCTGCGGAGGAGGTTGCTGATGCCCGAGTAACTGTGGAGAGTACCAGGGCGGCTAATGTGTCTAACGATGCCGTGCCTCCAGCTGCTTCAGTTGATGGTCTGGTCTTCTCGAAAAGCGCTTATGGTGTGGTTGATCCCGTATATGCGGTGGTGGAGCGGTCACTCGTGAAGGAGCGTCATTATTTAGAAAAGTTGCAAGAAATTATCAAAGAGGTTCTATTGGCCGAACGGGAGAGTTCACCGGCTGCGGAGGAAAGTGCGGTTGCAATACTGCCGGAGGAGAAGAAGGAGGAGGAGAAGGTGCCAGGCCCTCTCAAGCCAGTCTGGTACACCAGGCCGAAGCAGCCGCAGGTCCCATCGAGTCAGAGGGTGAAGGGTGGGAGGCCGATGCGGTACACGGCACTTGGAGACGCAGTCGTGCGATCCGCGTGGAGCGGGAGCCTGTGATGTGTTTGTGTTTTTATTTTTATTTATTAGGCGCTGCGTTTTATTTTTATTTTTGCAGGAAAGAGGTTCTGAATGTATTTCCGCTTTTATGTATATTCTTTTTTTTTTTTTTTTTTTGCACCTCTGTCTTATTTGATGAAAATATCTTACGATTGTATATGTATACATGTATGTATATATATATATATATATCTTGTTTGGTTTTTTATTTTTTTATTTTTTTGGCTGCTTTTATGATACGCATTGGTGTCGGCTGCGGACCTCTTCTGATGGTGCAATTTGTGTGTGTGCGCCACGTGATTTTTTGTGCCGTACCATTTTATGTTCGCGTGACTGTCTTTCAGAGGCGGACTGCGGTATTTGTGCGCATCCACACAGGCGTTCAAATTATTATTTTATTATTTTTCCACATGGGGTGTTTACTGCAACCGCAGCCATCAGCGATCATGCAATCAAATGTGCTTGCCGACATTGTGATTCAGGTGTTGTATATAATCCCTTTTTTTTTTTGTGCTGTTTTTACTCTCTTCAGTGATTATATATATATATATATATATGTCTCTCTCTCTGTGTGTGTGAGTGGAGCCGTTTTTCATGGTCTGAGCTTGTGGTGGCGGGAGGACGACTTGTCAGTTCCGGTGTCGATGTGCACTTTTTTTTCGTTCTGGGCTTTTGGACGCATGCACGCACGCGTGACGACTATTTTTAGTTGAGAGAAGCCATCGAGACGTGAACATTTCACAGAAGTAGCACCGCAGCAGTTGGGATGGGGGGTTCTCTGCAAAGACGGACGGTTTGGCAGGCGGGGGGGAACGCCGGAGGAGGATTGTGAAGAGAGAGAGAGAGAGAGAGAGATTGTTTGTTTGTTTGTTTTTGTTTTTGATAGGGCTGACTGCCCCAATATATAAATAATATTTATAATTTATATTTATAATTGATGAGAAGAAGATATTTTTGTACGATTTTTTATTTTTTTTACCGTCCTACCCACACACCCCCACACACCGACAAACCCACATGCACATTTACCCTTTTTTTTTTTTTTTTTTGCTTTCCCTTCACTTCTTTCTTTTGCGACGGGTTTTTTTTTTTGGTTGGAGGAGCTCAAAAGTCTGCCAATTTGTAAGTAATAAAAATTCCTTTATTTTGAATAGACTGCAACACGCAACGATTCGTGGCCCTCGAACGATGCACATGTATATATATATATATATTATATTATATTTATATATGTATTACTTACTTGGAATAAACATGGAGGATGTGATGAAGCCACTACCTTTTCCATTTACGCTCTCTCTTTTCTTTTTTTTTTTTTTGTTACATTTTGTTTACCTATATATATGTGTATATTTATGTATGTGTAGCTTCAGTATTCTTCTAGCAGTTTAGACTGATATTTTGACGTAAAGCCATTCAAGCACAAATATATATATATATTTATATATAAACACAAATTTTTCTTTTCTTTTTGTCTATTTCAGTTCCTTTTTTTGTGTGTTGTGTTGCCAATGGGGGATACACGTGGCGATTCCACAGGGGAGACGGAAGGGTTGCAGCCACAGGGGTTCATGGAGACGAGCGACCCGTCCGATCCTGCGACGCATGCGCCACAGGACACCGCGGTGAGTGGGGAGACGCATGCATCTCCCGGGGAAACGATCACCCGCGACGCGGTGGCTGCAGTGCCCGGTGAGGAGGAGGCTGCAGCAGCGGCCTTTTCGTATAATTCCGGCGGCGATGTGCAAGAGCAATCCACGGCTGCTGACATGGCCGCTGGCGAGGGCATCCTTGTCCCGAAAAACCATGAACAGTCCCTTTCTACCAACGTGGTTACCTTCGGGATAGTGGAGAAGGTACTTGAGGATGAGCGGGATTGCTTGCGAGAGATGCATGGAATTCTGGAGGTTGCGTGCGACGCGGAGCGGAAGAGGTACGCGATTGAGGGCAGTTTGAGCGCCGATACGATCGATACGGACAGCATACAGCCGTATAATTTATGCGAAGGTAGTGCTGAGGAAGAGGCCACGGCGTATGACATTTCAGACGAGGGGCTCGAAAGACCTGCTGCCGTCGGGGATAAAGGCACACCAATCATCACAAAAAAGTGTGGTTCCACAGAAACGGAGGATGATGGCGGCGGTAAGGCTTCTCGGGTACTGTCTAAAATAGAAGAAGACCTCCGGCGATCGCGTCTTCCTTTGCCACCGGGCAAAGATGGCCGTTTGCACATGCAATTTATGCCACTTACGGATGCCGTCGTTCGTTCGGCCTGGGGATCATTGCAGTCAAACTGGGCTGCAGAGTTGGAGGCGGAGATGCTTCCGGAAGAGTGTCGATCGACGAGGAAATTGCGGGAAGTCCTCACCGCCGCCGCCGCCGCTCGCCCACAGCCCCGTTTCCCGCCACGCAATGGGCCGGAGTCCCTACCACCTTGTGGTCATTCGCCGCACTCGATGGACGTGGAGAAGGCGAATTGCCCGGTTGCCTGCCATGCTGTGCAGTCACCAGAAACAGCATTTCCACCAGGCCTGCAGCGTGCCGTGGGGTGCGACGGCTCCAATCCGTTGCAGGAGACATGTGAGCGGCTCACACCTGGTGGGGTTTACACCCCAGTGAGAAACGAAGGAGCGGAGGCTGTAGAATTGCCGCCCATAATTTCCTCCGTCTACACAACACGCCCCGTTTTTGTCCCGCAGCAGGAAGGTGATGGCGCCTATTCCTCCGCCACACATAACAAGCCGCTACATCCATCATCCGGCATTGACTCTGCGTCAAGTGCGGGGATAGCCGCGCTGCCAGTTATATTCGGCGCAGACGGTCGCCCCATTGGCGCAAAAGAGAATGGGAAGCCGAGTGCCAAACCAGCGAACTACCCATGTGCAATGGCATCCACCGCACAAATGGCTGCACCACTGCCCAATACGAAGAATCACTTGGGGGCAGTACAGCCCAAGACGGGCAAACAGCCTACCTCAATTGTGGCCGTAAATCACTCGTCCGACGAAGCGGCTGAGCACCTACTCACTGTCACGGATAACACGAGGAATTCCATTGGGTCGACAGAAGGGACCATCGCTTCAAGTGCAGTTTCCACTCAAAGTGTTTCCGCTCTTGGCAAAAACGCGGGCCAGGGACGAATAAAGCAAACGAGTCCACGGCCAAACAGACCTCCCTCTTTGGTCGTTGATTGCGTACGCAGGCTTTCGTGTTCATTACCCATTTATGCGACGGCAGAGAAGGGCTTGGAGGAGAAGCTGGGTGTAATGGAGCGCGTCCAGGACATCATTGAGGAGTTCTATGAGGAGTATACCCGCAGCTTGGAGAATTCGACTGAACCGTCGTTATAGGCGGGATGAGGCTTCTTGTCCCGGCGGCTTTTTGCGTGCCTCTAATTGTCGATGTTTTCTTTTCTTTTTTTTTTCATATATATTTACTCTTGATGTAAATATTTCTTTTCTTTTCCTTTTTTTTTTTTTGTTTTCACATTTTGTCAATGACGTTGGGCGTTTATTTCTGTTGCTTTGCTTTTTTTTTTTTCTTTTTTTCTTTTTTTATTATTATTGTTTAATATTTGTTGTCGTTGTGTTGTTGTGTTCTTTTCCTTGGACTTTATCCTTTTTTTTTTCTTTTTTTTTTTTTACTTCTTCACGCATGTCGTTATTTATGTATGTTTTTGTGCGTGTTGCCATTTATATACACAATTACACACAATTATGTGGATATGTATTGAATGCGATATTCCTACGGTTTGTACTTATTTATGTTACGCCTCCTTTTTTTTTTTTTTTTTCTTTTGGAATTGCCCTTTAAAAAAAAAAAGAAAAGAAAAAAAAAAAAAGAACTGCATATAAAAAAATATATATTTTTATATATTTATATGCTTCCTGTGCCTTGTTGTTGACGGTGGCGTCGTTATGGAAGTTTGGGGGGAGGGGAGGGGGGACAATAAAAATTGACTGGAGAGAGAAAGGGAGAGAGGGGAAGTGTAGGAATTAATAGAAAAGGAATGGAAGAAATACGAGGACTAATGAAATGCATCCGTTAATACACGCAAACGGATGTTATGGAATGTTTGCGTACATGCCACAATGATATACACATGAGATGAGAGGCATGTATCATTATTGTACGGTACGGACCGTCCCGCCGTGTTTGCGTGTCACCAGACATATCAAGAAATAAATAAATAAATACATTTCTTTGCGAGTGAGTGTTTTTTCTTTTTTTTTCTTTTTTGTTGCACTGCAGAAGGTGACGTGACAGCTCTTGCGCTAATAGGAGGGGAAGACAAACGAAATTTATTATTACGAAAGCTACTGGGCAAAACATTGAAAGACTCACACGGAACTTAAGTTTTTTTCTTTTTTTTTTGTCTGTATTGGTGATGCCATTGGGGGGTTCAGCGCACAGCTTCACCAGTGGTATGGAGTGGCTGCAGACACGGACGGCAAAGGGGGAGGTGGCGCCGTCTGACACCGCAGCGCATTCACGTCGTGTACTGAGGCCCCTCAATTTGTCTGAATTACAGCGCGGCTCGCGGCATGCCGTTTCCTCCGCTGGAAAACAAACCACCGGCGTTCTCAGCGGCGCGGATGGACGGGGGCGTCACCAGTTGTCACGTCAAGAAAACACCACCGCGGACGTGGCGGCGAGGCAGGGACGACTCCCCGCCATGTTTCGGGGACCGGCAAAGGGATGTGCGACGTACAGCCCTCTGGGCGACGCCGTCGTCTGCTCCGCGTGGGGCAAAAAGTGCTTCGCGGCAGGCACATGGGAAGAGGCGATTTTGTTTACGCCGCGGTTGCCCGAAAAGAAATCGTCGTTGACGACGAAGCACCTGCCGTGGGGGAAATTTACGATACGGCGGAGTCGACACCCGTCGCCGAAGGAGAGGGCCGCACTCGCCCAGTCTCTCGCTTACACGGCGCCTGACACGACATGTGCCGTCACAGTGGCCGACACCGCTGCCTCACCCGACTCCACCGTCTCCCCCGCGTCTCCCGCCTCTCCAGACTCTTCCAGCGGGGTGTTGCTTTCGCAATTGGGATTGAGGGCTTTTTCGAAAAGAGCCGAATTGCGGAGCTGCCAGGCCGTGTTTGAACGGACATCCAAAGTGCTGCTGCGGGAGAAGGGGTACCGTGAAAGGATACTAAAGATTGTGGAGGAGGTTTGTGATGCGGTGCGCGCCGCTGCCGCAGTGAATGTTGCGGATACCGATGAGGGTGACGGAGTGCAAATGATGGGCGACTTTCCTGCAGCTTCTACTGTTTCGTTGCCTACAGGGGGTGTATTTGGCCCTCCAACGGTGGTCACGGAAGAAGCGCCGTCCAAGTCCCGGAGCATTTCCCGGCTTCACAAGATGGGCCACAGCTGTAATCAATTTTTGGGCGTTGATTCTGCTTCTGCCATGCCGCCATTGAGTCTGCAGAAGGACCCGGTGTCCACGTCGCAGGAACAACAAAAATTTCCGGGCGCATCTGGTGAACGGATACCCAACGCGGCTACGCAGGAAACTGTTCTACCGAGGCTGAGGGAATCCACTAATAAGCCGTTGGGGGTGGAGGCAGTGCGGGATGTCGACTCCACCCCTGATGATGCTGCAGCGGCCAAGGAAAATAAAGAAACGCAATCCAATGAGATGTAGAAAGAAGTCTATGAATTTCCCTCCAGACATTATCATGCTGAGAGCGCAAAAGTGGAGGAAACCTCAAGCGGATTTCATACCCCCGTTGCATTCTGTTCTCAGTACCAGATACTACAGCCAGTGCCTGGCGCAGTCTTGGCAGTTTTCAATGCCGTGGATGTTCCATCCCATGACTGTATTCGCCGTGTGGTGGGGCGCCCGCTGATGGAAGAGGAAGGGGAAAGGGAGGAGCATGCATGCCTGAAGAGACTGCAGGACGCATTGTAGGAGGCGTCTCGGGTGTCGATTGCAATGCCTCACATTTGCCATGAACTCTCCCAAACACCGAGGGGACTGGACGGTCCCCCACAAACACTGTTTTGCCTTATTTGCAAGCGGGAAGGGAAACAAAGACGGATGTCGAAACGCCGGACGCGGTTGCCGCGCCTTTAACAGACGCCTCCTAAAAAAAAAAAAAAAAAAAAAAAATTTACTTTGAAGTATGAGTGAAAATTTGCGTTGAAAGAGTTATTAATTCCTGTTTTAAACTTTAATTTTGCATGTTTTTTTTTTGTTTGCTTTTTAACGGGGCCAGCGCCTGAATATACACATACACATATACACATACATATAAATATAAATATAAATATATATTTATATAAACTCGCATACATGGAAATATCTAAACACACTTAACTACAATATATACATACCTATACCTATATATATATGGGTATATATATATAGGTGTGTACGCACATGTATTTGTGTGTTTCTTTGGCGGCGCGGTACCGTCTACATCCCACAAATGAGAGGAGGGAGGAGGCTTTGGTCCTGTTGTTGGGTGCGAAGAAAATAAATAATACTTTTTTTTTTTTTTTTTGTGGGTTTCCAGCGGAAAAGAAACACGAAGAAAAAAGAAAAAAAGCGGGTAAAATTACGGAGTCGCACGGCTGGTGGCGACAAAAAAAAAAAAAAATTTTTTTTTTCTTAACAAAAAAGAGGTGCCGTTTGTGTTTTTTTAAATTTTCCTTTTTTTTTTTTTCTTAAACGGTGTTGTTTTTTTTTTTTTTGTTGGGCGGCAGCGGCGGGTTTTTGTTTCCCGTGACTGAGCGCCCTGCACGTTTGTTAACCTCCGCTGCGTGCATTCACCCACACATGTGCATGCATGCATGTATGTAAATATGTACCTGCGGGGAGGGATAAAGACAGGGGGGAAGGACAGGCGAGGGAAATGGCGTGTCTGCCTCACCGGGTGGAGTTGTGGCGCGTTGTTTTTTTCCGCTTTTTTTTTTTTTTTTACTTTACGTCGCCGTGTGGTGCAATTGCGTGTGTCTCTCTCTCTCTCTCTCTCTCTGCGTGTCTGTTGCCAGGGCACATGTTGACTTCTTTTTCTCCTGTTTTTTTTTCTTTCTTTCTTTGATCATTTTATGTTTCCCGGCACCGTGTGTGTGTGTGTGTGTGTGTGTGCGGGGGGCGGTGAAAAAAAAAAAGTGAAGTGCGTGCGTAAAAAATTATTGATTGACAATTATTTTAATTATAATTGAATTGATTAATTATTACCGTTAGTTTTATTTTTTTTTTTTATTTAGGCTTTTTTATTTGTTTGTGGTGCTGTCTGCGAGAGACTGAGGGGGGCAGAGAGAAGGACAGACAGACAGACAGACAGGGGGCGGCATCGACGAGGCCTGCGACAGCGACGCGTACATCAGGGTGAAGGGAAGACATATAAAACAAAACAAAACAAAACAAAACAAATGGGTGACATGAAGAGGTTCATCGTGGCGGTCGCGGCGGTGTGTTTACTCGCAGCCACCGTGTCGGCAGCACCGGCGGGGGGAGAGGGGGAGAAATTGTTGTTGAAGAAAGATATCGACGCCCACCGCCTTTCCCAGAAGGGAGGTGTTGCCAACAACCTTCTTGCAAAAGATGGCGGTAACACCAAAGAGAGGACTCCACCTCTCATGAGTGCCGACGTTACAACAGTCATCATTGTCACCTCCGCCGCCTTGGGCTTTTCATTCGCCATGTACTGGTGGTACGTTGTCTCTGAAATCCGCATTACACCGGGCAAGGACCAGGGCATGCGCAACGCATACCTGACAGATGAGGTGATGCGTAATGTGTACGTGATCAGCAGACGTGTGTCGGAGGGGGCCAACGCCTTTCTCTATGCGGAGTATCGTTACATGGGGCTCTTTATGATTGCCTTTGGCACTCTCATTTTCTTTCTTCTCGGCGTCGCCTACTCATCGCCGCAGGAGGGCAGCAGGCCAGTGGCCTCACCGTGGGCCAACGCAGCGCTGTCGCTGCTCGCCTTTTTTGTTGGGTCTCTGACTTCCGTCTTTGCGGGCTGGATCGGCATGCGCATTGCGGTGTACACCAACGCCCGCACGGCGGTTATGGCGACGGAGGGGTCCGAGGAGGGCGACCAGTCGCTTGGGTTTGCCAAGGCTTTCCAGACGGCGTTTCGCGGCGGGATTACGATGGGGTTTGCGCTTACATCGGCCGGCCTGTTTTCCCTTTTTGTCACGGTGAAGGTGATTGGAGCGTATTTTGATGATGCTCCGGAGAATGTGCTGAACGTGTACGAGTGCGTGGCCGCGTTTGGTCTCGGTGGGTCGGCAGTTGCGTGCTTTGGCCGTGTTGGTGGTGGGATTTACACCAAAGCCGCCGACGTTGGCGCGGATCTTGTTGGGAAGGTGGAGAGGAACATCCCCGAGGATGACGCACGCAACCCAGGCGTGATCGCGGACTGCATAGGCGATAACGTGGGCGACATTGCGGGGATGGGCTCGGATCTCTTTGGCAGCTTTGGCGAGGCCTCGTGCGCGGCGCTTGTGATTGCCGCCGGCTCCGCGGAGTTGTCGAGTGAATTCACGTACATGATGTACCCGCTTCTCATCACGGCGGTGGGCATCCTTGTCTGCATTGGCAGCGCTCTCATCGTGGCCAACAACAGCGGTGTGCAGCGTGCGGAGGACGTGGAACCCACCCTGAAGCGCCAGCTGCTCTTCTCGACTGTTGCCGCGACGGTGGCGCTTGTGTTCCTGACGGACTTTGGTCTGCCGGATACATTTACAGTTGGTACAACAGCTACGACCAAATGGCGTGCTCTTGTCTGCGTGATGTGCGGTTTGTGGTCCGGCCTTATTATTGGGTACACGACGGAATACTACACCTCCAACGCCTACCATCCCGTGCAGGAGATTGCAGAGGCATGTGAGACGGGTGCCGCCACGAACATCATCTACGGCCTGTCTCTTGGCTACTTCTCTGTGGTGCCACCCATTTTGGCGATGGCCGTTACAATTTTTGCCTCCTATCGCATGGCGGACCTGTATGGCTTTGCCCTTGCCGCCCTCGGTATTCTCTCCACCATGTCCATTGCCCTCACCATTGACGCGTATGGACCCATCTCTGATAACGCTGGCGGCATTGCTGAGATGGCGCACATGGGACACGAAATCCGCGAGATCACAGACGCCCTTGATGCCGCAGGTAACACTACAGCAGCCATTGGGAAGGGCTTTGCCATTGCATCCGCTGCATTTGTGGCACTTGCCCTTTACGCAGCCTATGTGTCTCGTGTGGGCATTCCTACCATAAACATCCTTGACGCCCGTGTGATGTCTGGCCTGCTTGTTGGCGCAATGTTGCCGTACTGCTTCTCGGCATTCACAATGAAGTCGGTTGGTTTGGCGGCAATGGACATGGTGAATGAGATCCGTCGCCAGTTCCAAAATCCGGCTATCGCGGAGGGCACGGAGGAGCCGGACTACGAGAGTTGCGTTGCCATTGCCACGCAGGCGGCGTTGCAGCAGATGGTGGCCCCCGCGTGTCTTGTCATGCTGACGCCCATTGTCGTTGGTGTGCTTTTTGGCCGCTACACCCTTGCGGGGCTGCTGCCTGGCGCCATTGTGTCCGGCGTGCAGGTGGCCATCTCCGCCTCCAACACCGGCGGGGCGTGGGACAACGCGAAGAAGTACATTGAGAAGGGCGGACTGCGCGACAAAAACAAGGGAAAGGGCTCGCCGCAGCACGCCGCCGCTGTCATTGGCGACACCGTTGGCGATCCGCTGAAGGACACATCCGGGCCCGCGCTGAACATTCTGATCAAACTGATGGCCATCATTTCGGTTGTCTTTGCGCCTGTCTTTGAGTCGCAGCTTGGCGGTATTATCATGCGGTACATTGAGTGAGTGTAACGCCGTGAACGCGAGGAACGTTTTTTGTTTTTTTTTATTTTATTTTTATGTTTTTATTTATGCCTGTCGCCATATTTTCTCCCCCGCTTGTTTTTTCCTCGCTGGTTGTGCCTTGCGTGGGCGAAGGGCTGGCGGACTGACGGCGGGGCGAGTGGGCGACGAGGACAAAACGACAGTGAACGGAAAAGAAGAAGAATAAAAGGGGCTGCGGGCAAAAGAAAAGAAAAAAACGAAAAAAACAAAAACAAAACAAAAGCAGACGGCACGCGGTCTTCCGCGCAGCCACTGGGGAGTTTTTGAATGAATGAATCAAACCAGAAATTATTGGACAGGACGCATGGAAGGGAAAGAGGAAAAAAAAAAAAAGGACAGAAATGAAAAAGGGAAAAAAGGGAAAAAAGGAAAAAAAGAGGGGGAAAAAAAAAACGAGTGAGAAGCGGCGTACGGGGGATGATTGCATGCTGTTGCTGCCGTGATTTTCCTTCTCTTCTCCATCACCATCCTCTCATTGATGTCATCATCCCGCACTGTTTCATCCCATAGGCTCACTTTGAGCTGTATGAGAGCATGCAGGCATGTGCCATACATGCACGCACGGATAGATGGCGGGGAGTAAAGCGTCTACGTGTGTGTGGGGCGTTGCAGCAGCTGCAGGTGGGAGACTGGGATGTGCGCGTCAAATGGAGGGGAAACGGCCGTGAAAAAAAAAAAAAAAAAAGAGAGAGGGAGAGAGAAAAAGGGGGAAAACGAAAAGACGAATTTAAATAAAGTTCCAACAGCAGTGGAGACAATATCCAAGCATGCGGTCTTATAAACACATTCTTTTTTTTCCCCGCCCTTTTTTTTTTTTCTCCTTTTACTTTTTAAGTTTCCTGTTATTTGCTGCTGGGAGGCTGCATTAATAGCAATTTGTTTCTTTAAGCGATAAGATCCCACTGCTCATTTTTTAAAATTTATTATGTTTATTTACCAACAAACAGTGAACGGGAATAAGAGAGAGAGAGAGAGGGAGGGATAGAAGGATGGAGGGACATTTCAACATGTACTCAATAATATTAAAAACAGTAAGAATGATGTTGATGGACGTTAGCAAATGTGATCCTTGGATGTGCGTGCGTGCGTTGAGGCGAGAGACAGAGACAGAAAGAGAGTGAGAGAGAGAGAGAGAAGGGGAAAAGAGGGAAGCGTAAGAAATGAAGGTGAAACATGGGGGGAGGGGAAAGGGGGTGATATTTATTAACACGCATACAGACACATAAGACAGGAACGGGAGATAGCGAACATGTATCCGTGTCTGAGGAGAATGCCAGCAAATTGGTTATAACGGCTTGCTTTTGCATTTTCGATTGTGTCTATGGGAGTCTCTTTCTATGTGCGTGTGTGTGTGTGTGTGTGCGTTTGTGTGTGGATGTTTGGCTGCTGCCCTGTTTTTCCCGTTTCATGTACTTTGAATGACTGTCTTTTGTTTACAATTTGTCTCTTTTTCATTTTTTTTTTTGTCTTTTGCGGCTGCCCACTGTTTTTTTCTGTGGTTGCGTGTTTGTGTGTGTGTGTGTGTGTGTGTGTGTGTGCCACAAAAATCTGCTGCCTGAAGCAGAAGAAGAAAAAATAAAGGGTACCGCATATTTTATTTATCCATATTTATATTTCTAGTGAGTGAATAAATTGAGTGAGGGAGGCACACACATTTGTTGCCTTTTGGCCTCTTAGTGCGTGTGTGATTGACCACCGCAAAGAGCACAGTGCATACAGGAGGCGATAGAAATACTTCAATTATATTTACAACTGTTCGCGCGGTTATTTGCTCAACTATTATTGTTTTGGGTCGTGGGGATTTACGGGGAGAGAGAGAGAGAGAGAGGAGGAAGAGAGAGGGCGTCCGCGTCTGCGTGTGAGTTGACATGCGGGTGGAGGTGAAGTTTGGTACGCAGACAATTGTCGTGGAGTTGCCGGATGGCCCCACACCGCCAACCCTCTTGCAGCTCAAAGAGCAGCTCTGTACGCAGACGGGTGTTTTACCTATGATGCAGAAGCTTCTTGGCAAACCGAAACTGAACGATCCCGAAAACGACGCCAAATCACTTGAGCAAATGGGCGTGCGCAACAACGCAAGGCTGATGCTTGTTGGCTCTTCCGTGCCGGAGGTGGTGTCAGTGAATACCACTTCCGCCGCACAGAAGCAGCAGGAGGAGGAACGAGAGAAACTGCTAAGAAATCTTCCGCTGAATATTTGGCTGCTTCCATCGTTTGCCGGCTTTATGGCGGATCCTTACGTAGAGGGGAAGGGCTTTTCACTGGAGGGCGGCGGGGTGGGGTTGGCGCTTCTGACACTTGACGTGGCGCTCACGCGTATCAACACGTTGGGCGTGGCCACAGCAAGCGGTGGTGGCACCGCCGCCGCACTCTTGCAGTCTTTGGGAAACGAGGAGCAGGCGACCATCTCCCACCCGCTGCTGCGGCAACTAAGTGCGGCAGATCGTCAGGCCGTTCAGAGAGCACACGGTGCGCTGCGCCGCTGCTACTACTTTGCGCAGGAGGCGGAACAGGCGCAAAACCCACAGCAGGTCCTTCCTGTTGTGAAGAAGGCCGTGTCATCTGTAGATGGACTTGCGGTAGGGGAGTGGCTTCTGCTTCCAGGTGGTTGGAACGGCTTGAATGCTGCCAACGCCATCTACCTGCTTATTCACCGGCGTGGGCCAGAGACCCTTGACGTCGTTTTCGTGAATCGTGGGCACGAGGGGATGCCGTACCACCCGTCGTGGCAAACAGCGGAGAAAATTGTGTCGTGCCCAATTCTCCGCTTTGAGGGTGTAGCAAGCGCACGTCTGCTGGACCACACCTTTTGGCTGCTGTTGCTTTCTCTGTGGATGCGTAGCAACGGGTCGGGTGCTCGGTCGGAGTTTATCCGCGCGGAGGTGTTCTACGACGTGCTTCTGCCGTGGCTCGTGGAGAAGGGAGGCAAACACGCGGACCCGCCGCGGTTTGCGACGGAGATGCTGCTTGGCACTTGTGATAGTCGAACGGACGAGGATGATGATACCGCCGCCAGGCATTGTTTTTCGGCCGCCATTCACGAGCATCGAGCGACACCGGTGCGCAGCGCATCGAGCGCCATCAAAGGAGCCGTCACGGCATTGGTGTACCTCTTGGAGCAGTATGGTGTCCGTGCACGCTCTGTACAAAAATCCATAAAGTACGCGCTCAAATACGAGTTCATGATGCGTGCGGCGGAGGATCTCAGCGCGCTTGCCCGTCGCTTTATGCGTTCCTATACAACTGACATTCAACAGCAG